TTAATAGTATGTGGTAGTATAAAAGTTTTAAATATTTCTAACAGAAAGTCTTGAGAGTGACTCGTATTAATTATACACAATCAGACTAACAACAAAATCTATGTAAGTTAAGAAGTGCTAAAAACATAGTAAATTAACCAGGAAAGGGAAAACATAAAACTCGCCTGGAATATTTCGATGATTAGATTATTCAGTAGACGGCATATATAACGCTATTCGTGAGGAGTAGTAATGATCCAAAAGCATCCAGAATAAAACGCACAGTATGGCAATTAATTCCAGAGTGCTTGGTGCTGTTGACTTTTTTGTCAGTCGCTCGAATCACAACAATTGGATGAACCCAGATAGTTTTGTGGTTGTCATTGAACGAGCAATCTGAAATGACTTTATGATCGCAGAGAATGTATAGCTTAAACTCACCGTATGTTTTTGGAGTAGTGTCACCTTGTTGCTTGACAATGGAACTCGAAAATAAGAAATTAGGCAGGCAGTGGCAGCAAGAAAAAGTGTTGCACGATTGTGCACAGTTTAAAACAGAATGTATTAAGTGAAGAAACACTAAGAATTATATCACGATAACTATTTAGTCCTTGCTTACATTGTTAGTCAATGCATATTTTGGTTATTTATAGATCATATTTGATAGAGCTTGATGTTAAAACAAGTTTATTCCGCAGAATCGTGTAAGTGCTAATAAGCTTTTTAATGAACCATCAAGGCTATTTGATATAGATAACCGGTTATTGGTATCGATTGAGTTAGTATGTTATGAGTAATAATCGATATAATATTACGACAATACATGTGAGCATTAATCAGAGGGATAATAGAATACTGGATTGAAATAAGTCTTTACAGGATGACTAACAGTAATAAGTCGCGTTTCTTTAGTCGGGTTCACCAATGCCACTACAAATTCCCTCAAACGTAGTGTGAATGAATCGCCGAAACATCCGTGCTGCATCGGTCTATCCGAAGTGCCTGAACAAAAATTCATATAACCCGGATGGGGTTGTTACCACCGTGTTCGGCATATCTTCTAGCGCGATGGGGAAGTTTTGACAAGCATTGACAAGGTCAACCCTCGATATCACTACCAACATTGTGAATGTGTGGTGTCTGATAACTTTCGGGTTTTATTTGCTTGCTGAGAGTTCAATAACCGCTTTTCCGAGACTATGTCCAACGGCGGCGGACTAGGGCTGTCATATAACTTTTCAATCCCGAGCTCATTAAACTTCGCAATCCCTGTTTGTTACTTTTAGCATTTTCAAGTCCAAACTCTTTGTCTTTTCATTGCTTTGTGATATTGATCAGTATGTCTGAGATCCGGGCTACCCTAGGGTATCGTCAGCTGCTGAGCAAACTGTTCACAGTGATTCATATGGATCACACTGCCTTCTAGCTACCACTAAATTCGAAATATTAATGATCACACATCTTGAGTGTAGTGGTGCTATTTCTGTTAATGAGTTGTTTTCGTTGGGGATTAACTTATGAATTGAAGTTATTTAGGAACACAATATCTATGAAAGGCATGGATACATCTACCATAAATAATTATTAGATGAATGACTTGACTATACTAAAATTCGGCGTCAATTTTCGCAAGTCATACGTTTTTATATCAGACTTCTTCTCCACTTTGGAATTAGTAAGGTACTAACATTATGTCTTTCATCATCTAAATAAAGCATGGTTTCGGCTCCTGTGTCTACAAGGGATTGTGTGCTTATTATTTCATCATGCATGTAAAACAAACGACATCCTCTGGGAGTTACGTCAGTTGACTCAGTCTTCATGATCAGCGGCGGGATCGTTTACCTGACGTTATTTTCAATCTCAAATGTAGCCTACAGTTTCCAGCTCTGTTCTGCCATAAGGTTGATGATACTAATATACCGAAGGAGCTTAGTGTCTCCTGGAAGCAATAGGCCACTGAAGTGCGAACTACTCTGTGACCACCATTGTAGCCTGTCTTTCTGCGTCAACTTTGCCAACCTGTGGCATAAAATGCTTACCTCATTTGGTAACATGTCGGACACATCACCTACTGTCGTGTTATGCAAGTTAGGACTAGTTTACCCTGTTCATTCGTATATCTTGTTGGCTACTCTTGCGATATTGTCTATACCAGCATCTCTACCAGACTGAGAAAACCCGTTGTACACTTAGCGGGAGTCGGTGGAGTCACAGTTAGTAACATAGGTTACTTTCTACTTCCCTGTACCCTAGTAGCTTTTTCGGGTGGCTTCTTAACTGGGAGGGAATCCTTTTCCATTTGCACATGATATAAAGATTAAGGGATATCAGAAATGATATAAATAAAAGACTAGACGTGGCTTTTTCGAAAGACATGTTTATAACTAACAAATAGCACATGAATAAGACAATATATTTGTAATGAACAGTAATGAATTGACGGCAATAGTGATAATAATAAGTGGTACAATGTTACAACACAGACTTATTATATCTCATCAGTATATCAACTGTACTTGAGAATGTCCTTATTCATTATTGGCAATAATTTTAAATTGTGTTCAGTAATAATTATGAGACAATGTAAACCCAATTTAAAACAAAGATAACAGTAATTCCGAAAAAATACCGAAGTCCATCATAGTAACCTAAATTTAGACGAATTATGTTGGTTTTCGGAGTTACGTCGGACGATAGAAATGTGTGTTTTGTTCTCCATTTCTGTGAAGAATTATCTTCCAGACAATTCCTAAGGCTTCGTTCACCTCTCACCCTGATAACCACTTTTAGATGACATTTAACGGTGTTTAAATATCAGAAGATATTACGAAGCTCTTACCACAGTTTATTATCCTATAGCTTAGTTCACCAAGCCACAAGCTCATAAAGCGAATTAGAGAAGATATGCGAATGAGAGTGAACAGGAGCAAATACAGGGGCAAACAAAGAGACGAATGAATAGATATGATTTAAGAAATACATACATATGAGATGGGAATCTATTCATCGAGTGATTTAAACAACTAACATTTAAGCTGGTAGATGGGACATGTATGTGGGCTCTATCACGTGATTACGCATGTATGTTCATACAGACGTGGATATAGCAACAAAAAGATATAGACAAACTGCTACTGTTGAAGTCACACTGACTTTTAAGTAAGTTGACTGAAGAGCTTGATAAAACTGGACATAAACAGATTAATGAGTAGCATTCGTGCTATAACCTGACTTGTGATTGTCAATCTGACCATCGAAAATCCTTGAATTTCCCTCAGATATTTCCTCAGATACCCTCGTTTCCTTTTTTAACCCTCTTTCTCTGGCAAGCTCATAGCAAACCGTAGAAGAAACTACATGTTACAAAATAAGATGACAAGCTAGTTAATGAAGAGACATTCATGGACTATCGTCGATTGCTGACGGGGTTAGTCATCATTGATTGTAAGTCAAACAGTGAGCGAGTTGATAATTCTCCCTTGGGCTGCAAAAACGAAACCAAGGTGTTTTTGGTAGGTAGTTTAATCGAACCGACGTTCCTATGGACGTGGATTCTAAGAGGAAGCTAATGTAACAGCTTAGGTTGATCGGTTAAGAGTTGACTTCAAACAACTGAGTATCTGTCAAAACAAAAGAGTTCGAGTTTTCATTCACTTCCTTATTTTGTATAGGAATTACATTTCCTATTATCTTATATCGAATGTACAGAGGCTTTGTTTGTCTGAACAGGTAATCCCACGCTCCATGGTAGATGCGCGAAGATCTAAATAAAGACCTATTCACTACTACTCTGGTTTCTCTATCAAAAGCACGAGGGTTACCTACAGGCACGAAAATAACTCTAAAAAGAACCACTCCTGGATTATGAATCTACTGACTGACATGTGCCGATGGGCTGGCATCCAAGATCGAGAGGATAAGTTGAATGTTATATAACTTGGTTTATCGAAAGCCTTTAATAAAGTCAGTTATATGTATGTTATCAGTAAACTTAAGCAGATAGAGACCCAGTTAGTGCTGACGGATTAGTTTAACTTATATATGAGTATTCTTCATACTTACCCTAGCAGAAAAATCCTGTTGGAGTTTCCTGGGATTCACCACTTGGACCTCTACTCTTTTTATTGATATAAATGACCTTGCACTGAGATACCACTTTTTGCCGATGATGTTAGACCTTGGAGAGAAGTTTGGAACCAGTACGATGAACCAACATTTCAGGAAAATCCGACCCGACCTTGATATTATTCTGTCAATAATGGACCTACTATTTGGGACGTGGTCCGATCAAATCAGTTAATTCTTCTCTGAAAATGACACTAGTTGCGAAATATGTAGGCATTCTGGTCATTCATCATGCAGAATGCTATTCCAACAGTGACAAAGTCTCTTTCGAAGTAAACTTAGCACTGACAATTTTGGAGGTTATTTATAGTCAGTTTGACTGAAAGGTTGTGAATCTTATTCTTAACAGTTTTGCTCGAACACAATTAGAGTCTGAAAACATATTTCCACACCACTCTAAAACGGGGAAAGTACTCTGGAGCAAGTTACGATATTAGTTTGTGGAATTAAATTCACACCTTACGAAAAATTCCGAAATCCACTAAGACTCCCTTCAGAGTAAAGGTAACTCGACGCAACCTTTTATGATTTCAAGTACCCGTAGCGTCTACTAACATCCTCCGGATTACTAGTTTTAGTTTAACTCCAACATACTACTTAAATGGAATACTCTGAAGTTAATGGTACAAGTAACTAACCTAAAATCCTTTAGGAAAAAAATGATTCGCGCTTACAGGCCATGAAGAGTATATCATATTACTCTACCAATACTTATTTCACTTCTGTTTATTTTATGCACTCAGGTATCTATCTTCAGAAACCTAAAACAGTTGAAAACAGGAGTTTGCTAAACGAAAACTTTTTCTGTTCAGTCCATAACTGTTTAAATTATTTTATAGGCAGGAATAAATTTTACTAAATATTTTTAGAAAAACCAAGAGGTTCAGGTACTTATTTAAATCGCGAGGTTTACAGCACTGGGATACAAACAGGAAATTAGATCACTGCTGGGATTGACGGGAATCTTGACCAGCGTGCTCAGAATCGCCCTGGTCATAAATTACTTATCCTTAGTGCTTTATTATTATAAATTGACGATCTCTGTTTCTTCCCAGCCCTCTTTCTCATGGTATGTTTAATGCTACAAGATAAATGTGACAGTCGAACATGAAAATGTAGGTCTATGTGTGGACTCAGTCAAGGCCATTTTTGTTTTTATGTATCGGAAACCTAAGTTTTATTTCTAACACATATTTGTTCACACCATTTTTCGCTCACTGGTTGTTCTACTTTGTCAAGTGAGATTTTTCACCGTTGAATTGCTTCGATGTCATTCCCGTGTTGTATCTTTATTTTTGATTGCCTTCAATAATAAATGCTAGCTCATATTGTGTACTTACTGAGTCATCTGCTTACTTTTTTTCTTTTTCTTATAGATTCTCGCATACCCTGTTTTGCACGCTCATCCTGCACACCACGTGTGCGCCAAAATCTGCCGAGAGTTGAAATTTGCACAGTCTTTAAATGCGACTCCCTCTGGATTCATATGGAGTAGACTTGCATGTTCATCTGGATGGTGCTATTAGGCCAGAAACATTATTTGAGATATCGAATGACCAAAAATCCAAAGTCTTGTTTCAAAATCTAGAAGAACTTAAGGGAAAGCTAATGCCTAGAAAGCCTCACAGCCTGAAAGATTTTCTGAAAGCTTTCGAGATAATCATACCATTAGTTGCCGGTAAAAAGGTTAGTAAAATTAAATTACTTATGATTAAGAAAAAAATTGCGTCCACTAGTTATGATTTTTTTTAGTCTGAGCTGAAGTAGGTTATTTAGTATTCCAACTCACAGAATGTATCGAAGACCTTTTCTTTTCCGCAAATCCATATTTTCTTCCATACGTAATCGTTTGTGTTCCTACTAATACTGTCATTATGAATTATACTCTGGCATCTCTCTGTGATGGTTTGGTGTAACAGCTCTAACCAATCCATATAATTCATAGGCTCTATATCAAATAGCTGACTGGTATCAGATAAAAGTAAAGTAGTTTTATAATCCATACAAGGCAGAAATAAATAGAATGGATATGGAAGTTAATTACCTTAGTATATGGTGTTAAACGGAAAGCAGCATATATCACAGTCAGGGGGAGTTTAGGAAATGTTGTATTTAACACAATAAAGACTGGTAGATCCATCTAGCTGTCACAATGTATCGTTAAATCAGGAATCGTGTTTATTTATTTAGTAAAAATGACCAAAATATAAAGTATGCATCTTTCAAGTGTCTCAGATCTATACAGAACGAGGTTAACTATGATATAAACAAATCGGAGACGGTTTATTTAAGCTATTACCAATGATACAAAAATATCGTGGAGAACTATACAGTGCTCTTTGAGTGCATTATAACGCCAGCAATGAACATTTTGAGCCATGCAAGATTTCATTAATCCTAAGTAAAACGAAACATGAAATGTTCGGTGTTGCCATCTTTATAGACACCATGAAGTACACCATTAAATCCAAGTATGAAGTGATATTACCGGAAACATGAAAACCGGATAGAAGTAAATTGTTTCATTCATAACCGGCGTTGCAAACTAACAATAAAACTTGAGTCAAATGAGGGACCATTTCTTGGTTGCTCAGTCCTACTTGTAATTTGAGATAAAACTCATTTTTTAAGGGCTAACCCGAAACAACCCACAACATAACTTAGTTTCAAGTTGTATATACCCTCCTGCCACGAAAACCACTTTAATTTGTAAATATTTGGAGTTTATTTGTGATATTTATACTTCGCTACACTACGCAATATCAGCTGCATACCATAGATGTCGACTGCTTCGTTTCAAGTCAATCTGTAAATGCTTCCTGGTAAGAAAAAGTATCATATTTTCCTCATAACTAATCACGTTCTCATTGTGTGCTGAATGGCTATTTTGCCATAAATACTGTTCGTAATATTTCATACGGCTAAACGGATAACCATAGTACTTAAAAAAAGTGACCGTTTGCTCAATATAAAGTACGGTATTAGTAAAAAAATAGTATATATTTTTGTGTGATTCAAACGTTTTGAGTGCCATTAGCTAATGAGGTTAGATAATATATATAATAAATATAAACTTTAGCGATCTACAAAGGTAGAATCAGTAGTAGTCTAGTAACAGATAACAATATTGAAGGTTAAAAATGGCATATCACAAACAGGGTTGTGAATAAAGTATAGACATTTTTGTGACCAGTAGCATGAATAAAACACCTGACTTGTATGTTAAGTTCAACACGATTTTAACTTCTTACTTTTATGTCCTATTAGCGATCTGTCTTATTCACTCTCGGTTTATATGCCCTTTATGTTTATCAAGTTGGGTTTGAACAATGAATGATCACAACAATAACGAGACTAAATCGTACGCTAATATAATATGTCGTTTACACTTATAACGATCGTTGTCTGAGTCTAAGTTTCTTACGTGTAATCTATGAACAAGATCAAACCATCTGTTGCTCGTAATGCTCAGTATCAGATAATAAGAAAATGTTGTTTGTGTAATATGAAATCCTCACGTGGTTGACGGAGAGTTCATTCATTCGCGGATGTGCATATGTTAATTTTTGAAGCCTTGATAATATGAATAGCAATGATTAAATAATGTCAGAGAAATACTCATGTTGTATATTAATTTCAATTAAAAACATTTTACCATAATTTAATTTTTACATGGTTGTAAATTTGCAGGAAAATGAGACTAAAAAGGTACATTCGTTCCCTGAAAATAAAATTTCTGTAATTCAAGAAATGAATGCATATTTTCTGAGACTACTTTAAAATTGTGAATGTACTAGTTTGTTATAGTTATTTTAATTAGTGTGAAAACAAAACATGCAACTCTAATGCCGGGTTAAAATTTATTGATATTAAATGTATTTTATGAAAATCTTTTACCACTTTTGTTTCTCTACTCGTTAGTTCGTAAAATAAGCAACTGGTTTACGATTAACTTACCACACTGTAGTAACCAATCTCATATCCGTGTCGTTCTTTTAATGTTGATCGAATTGGCTGACCAGTTTGTGATAAAGCCGTTAGTCCAAGTTACATAACATCGATCCATGCACTATGTCGAAATGTTAAGTGGTTCGAGGCACTCGGCGAAACCCATAAACCTTGATTTCTACCATTCAGCACTCGTTAGCAAGGCCTTCCTACATTCTTGAGGAGACTGATACTTCCTACGTGATTTGAACCGACGTCACCCAGCTTTACAATCCGAGACTTTATCACTGAATAGATCAAACAGCTCAATTGTAACATCTCACACTGTAAATCCGGATAACGCACATTCCGATTCCATAGAAATATTCAGTTCTCTCAAGACTGCAAGTTCGCATTAATGAAGAGTGTGAAGTAGTAAAACGTCTAGGATCACTCTCTTGCCGGATATCTGGAACCACTTGACGTCTAAACAATTAGTTCTGGATACTTCAGACATTATAGTCCTCACACTAACAGTCAAACTACTTTTGGTAGCAACAATGTTATGTTTTAATGAGTTGAAAACAAATATCTTTATACGGTGCTGTGTTTTGTGTATTTTGTCATAAGTTTGAAGAGGAGAAAATCTAAATTATATTTCAGCTCAACAATTTGTTAAAACATAGTTATTCATAAGTCACATTATTAGTAATACCGTGATAAAGAAACATTATATACAATTTTCTATTATTCTGTTCATATTTAGCATAAAAAGCTAGTCTTATTAAACATCATTTTAAAACATTTTAATAGACAAGAATTTCTTCAAATGTTTCAGTATTCTTATAATTGACTTAAATAAAAACGTAAATGTTAATCAATGTAAATTTTATTGATGAAACCCTGACTATAACATCATTCAGAAAATTGCATTTATAACACTGATTTTCCAATGATTCTAAAGAAATCGTTCCACGGATTAATATCCAAAGTAATTTTTTTGTAAATTATATTGGTATTGGTTATTAATCCTATAGAGATCAGACTAAAAAGAAATGGGAATGAAATCACGAATGACCGAAATAGAAAATATGATTCACTAGACTAAATACCTGCACGTTCATAGCCATTTACTCTATCAGGTTTGTCGATTGAATTTGATGTATATATATATATATATATATATATATATATATATATATATATAATGTTATGTCCAAGCGAAGATTAAATCACGGGTAACTTCTGAGACATATTAACTGACTAATATTATCTACACATTCTTATGGTATAACTATTCAATAATTAGATTATGTATATTTATATTCCTCTTATTATAAGCTTTATTTTGACCTATAATTTCTTATTTTACGATTTACTGTTCAGCTTATTAACTACTGCCTCCCACATTCACAGCCACTTTTTGGCTTTATTGTGTACAAATGTTATTTCCTATTTTATGGTGCGTTGTGGTCTGTTTGGTTGATATATAAATCCAGTATGTCTGAAATAAATATTCGATTCGCATAGTGAAAGCTGGTATTTGGTGCTCTGGACTCAAGTGGACGGGCTAGGAGGCGGAAAGCAGGACCAATAAGGACGCTAGACTGCCCATACCGGTCGAACGTCATTGGTTTGGCACAGTGCTAAGATCGTATAAGTCGTATTTTGATTGTTGGATAAATCACGTGATAAAAGCCGGACATAAAGTCACAACATATAAGGTCTTTTTTGTAGCACGACTAAAAACCGGCCTTTTTTATATTTACGGTTGATTGATCACTTAATATTGACTAATTTCATGTTTGTCTGACGCTTAAATTTCTGATTTTATTCTGTGGATCAACTTGTAATGCTGCCGCAAATCTAAGTCACTTAAAATGTGCACTACTTCGAGATCCTAGACGGTTGGAGCCTGAATATCTTAGTGGGAACTCCTTAAACTATGAAACTAGTTTTAAATCCTTTAGTGAACACTAGTTCCCCCACGATCACAAGTACACTACTGACGAGTGCCAAATAACACAATACCCAGGTTCAGGGTTTCCTATCGTTTACTCAACATCTGTTCAGTAATAAGATAACTTTGAAAAGTTAATATTTCTCATACTTTATAAACCCTTCGTATGATTATTTGCTTGTAATGGGAAAATATAAATTCATATAAGTAGTTTCGTACCCATTCAATAAATTATTATTTATCTGAACTCAATAACTCAGTTATTAACTTATTTGTGTTCAAAGCGATTGGTATTGAATTTAGTCCTTAGTGCGAACATCGACCACGTGATGCAAATACATGTAGTCGACGAGTATCAAGCAGAACGAAAGATGTTTTTGTATTCCATTGTTAGCTACAATCGAAATATACTTTGGACGCGTAACTAAAGTGTTGATTCAAGACGTGTGTTCAGGATGCACATGTACCAGTAGAAACTTATCAGTCACAGTCCTGAATATCGAAAAGGAGACAGTGCAAAATCAAATTTTATTTATTCGCTCTAAAGAAATGAGTCAAAAAACGTCAAACTTCTACTCATCGGGATATCACAAATATATCATTATTTTGTTATTAATTCACACTGTTTAAATGTTTAATAATCCTAACTAGTTTTTCCTTTCTATTTTTCCATCTACTCCTTTCTATCCACACCAACTTTGTTTAATTAGGAGGTTTTGGCGCGTATTTGTGAAGAGTTTGTTGAAGATTGTGTAAAACGCGGTGGTTTATGTTATGTGGAAACAAGATATTGTCCATTTCTATTAACTGATTCTAAATGTACCGCAGAAGAGGTATTAAAAACAATTTTGGATGCACTTAACAGAGCCAGCAAAAAGCACGGGATAGAAGTTCGTTCTATTTTATCAATTATGAGACATATGCCTGAGACAGCTAAAGAAACATTAGAATTAGCTAAAAATTATCAACCACATGGAGTTGTTGCAATCGATATTGCAGGTTAGTGAGTTTGTTCTTATTTTGTTGTTATGTGTTTGATATTTTTTAATCTTTAAATATTTAACTGTAAATAGGATGACTGGCTGAGCAGTGCTGAGGTTAGTCCCAAGATACTAGGCATTGATGGTAAGTCGATTTTATAAGGGAGTAAATCTTCGTCGACTGAAGTGGTTAGGATATATATCATATTTTCCTAACCACTGCCTAGCTCAGTGCGGGATGTTTGCTGATGTAAAAATATGTTGGAAGAAATCCAATGGCACCTAATTTAAGAGCTGGCATCGAGCCGTAAAGTAATTAACTGTTAAACAAAGATATGTTGGTAGGTGCAGAATGCCAGGTTGAGGTCCTTGAGGTGATAGTAATCGGTGGTTGAAATTCGTGGGTGACATTATCCGTAATCGGTTACAATCACGCTGATGAATTTACTCTTTGTCTTTCCTTAGATCTAGAATTTTGAAATTATCTTGAACTTTTCATTTTACAAATTCATTCTTTCTCCAATCATATTGTCTATGCTTAATCTTTCCTATGACCACTAATACTATTAATAGTTCCACTACTCTGGCATTTGTCTTGATAATTTGACCTCAGTAAATTAGTTTGCTGTGGTAACATGAACCGATCATGTATATCCCGGTCTCTACTTTTCCTATGACTGATTAATTAATACTTCCTAATGGCGGATTTGATTAAAGCTATTAGAAACTCGTCATCTATCAAATGGTATTCTAGAACTTCTCAATAATATTCACCTATAATGCAAATCATGATCAACTGAAGTTCACCAATATGTTGTCTTTTTAGTTGATAAATATTATTATCAAAAACATTCAAATTCAACTACTTAATAAATCATATTAACAGATGGATTTTCAAAACCTATAAGTAATTAGTTTTTCTACCTTTCAAAAACACTCCATTTATCTGTCATAAATTGTAAACAATCTTCTATTGATCAAAACGATGGTTAAAAACACTAGTGATTTGTCCTATTTTCTAAAAGTGAGTTAACAATATATAAGCATTTCAGACAGCTTACGGACTACGTTTAGAGCTTGAGTTTAGATGTTTAAATTAATTACAAAGTACTGTTGTACAACTCATATGAAATGAATACTTACAGAGAGTATATTTTATCCAGACTTTTTTGTTCATTTATTAAATATTGTCAGTAAACTGTTGTCCTCATATAGTTTAGTTACGTGCAATTTTATACTATCAACATCGATTAAATCTCAGTATATCCTACAAAAAGTAGCTGTGTATGAAGAGTACCATCAAATGATACACGGCTAGTCAATATTCAGGTTATCTTCAAAGTAATAATACGATCCTGAATGCCTACAAAGATCCTTCAACGCATTGCGTTATAAACTATTATTGAACTAAGTGAACTTTAATTACCTTGCTCCCTGCTTGATTTCGAATAAACTAAAGCTGTCTGTAGAGAATAACGAGATCAATACATGTACTTTTCGACGATTATTGGTGGGACACCGAAAACCTATAGCATGTCATTGAATGGATCATTGATGTTCTTAATTACTCAACAGAATGAAATACCATTGGTTCATCTTGCATCACAAGAATTAGTTCAAACAAGTCGTAAACCATTATTGTATGATGTTGGTGATACATTTTAATAAAAAGGTGATAAATTTTTGTCCATTTTCCTAAGGAATTATTTCAGATTTTTGTGTATATTCCCAGATAGATAGAATCAGAAATCATTAGTAGCAATGGTTATGAATTCAACTGTTCCGTCAATTGATTTAGCTTAATTACTTAACACTTTATAAATGATACTCAATTGTCACCATGCAACCTAGTACTTGAAAAACTATCAGAACTTCATAAGTTCCTTAAATTGAATATTGACTCATAAGGAACCTAGCAGTTCGGAAATCAATTTTCATCTTGCACTATACATTCAAGTTCTAATTAATCAAGTTGCAATAGAATATTTAAAATCTAACGGCTACCAACTTCAAAGTATAACCAACGTTGTATAGGTAAACAAAGTTCAGTTTCATGCGTCAATGCAATCTACTTGTAAGAATTACATCTATATCACACAAGTTCAAAACGTATTTCATTTGTTTGTTGACATGAATAACTCAGACAAAACTTCAATTATTTAAATTAAAATAGACTAAATTAAAACTTTTATAAATAAGTTTCCCATAGAATATTCAAAAAAAAAAGAATATATGAGCGATAAATCGTTTTCAATAACTTCATCATACATAATTATTGTAATATTTTGCAAAGGCCGAAATAAAGTATTCATTAATGGATTTGACAATGTTATATGTTAAAAATGATGAACTATGGTATCCGTCACGACATAAATACTTCGAAATAGTGTCATTTGTAAGTTAGGTCATTTAATAAAGGTTAGAATGCTTCGTTGTGAACTGTCAAGTTATAATAATGATAAACTAAATCATGTGAACAAACCAACTTCCAGCTGAAGAGGAAACTAGGGAAAAACGATGAAAGTGAATAGGACGTACGCTGCGGAATGTATCAGACTGCATCGCGAGGATAGTGCTAACTTGGAATTCTGAATGGGAACGAAAAAGAGGGAGACCAAAAAACACACTGCTTTGGGAATTGCAAGCAGACATGAAAAGAATCAATCGTAACTGGAAACAACTGGAAAGGATTTCCCGGGACATAGTCGAATAAAGAATACTGAGGAGTGGCTTATTCTCCTTCATGAGGGGTGACGAATATAACGAAGTAAAATCGTGTGAATAAAATGCATAGCAGGAGTACTTCGTCTTGTGAATCTGATAAATTCTTAAAAAAACAAGTACCATCTACTCTGACTTAAGCATTTCATTTATCGTTTATTTAGTTAGAAAGACAAAACTCGAATATCAAGTTAGGCTTTAGTATCTCAACAAAATTTCTTTATCTGAAGTATTTTATAGTTTTGCCAGATTGTATACAGTTGTGTCTAGGCATGCAGTAGAATAGTCGACAGTCATCGGTGTTCAACATTTACGGCACTAATTAAATTAACTTATATTGTTGTTACACTTTTTGTGGAGTTAATCTTTTATCAGATAGTCCCTGATTAATTGTCTGATAATGGAGATAATTAGATGAGAATCTATTCAATATGAGTCTAGTAAACTATTTAGTCTATCATATGGATCCAACTCGTTTAAACTTAAATATGTCTATATAGTTAAAGTATTGTTTTCCTCTTTTAAACATTTGTAAATAATTCTCTTTCAAAACGAGAATAACAATGAATATTTCAGCAGAATAATATAGATTCATGTGGTTATGTTAAGTCCTTGTTAATTAATTCTACAAGCAAATTAGAATATATTAAGGTTAAAATTATGCATACAAGTTGTATCATACTTAGCTACAGGTGAAATTCGTTAGAAGAGAACTTTTCTTTTATCGTGTTAGAGTGAAGATTCCAACCAAGTTATTGAGATTTGAAATAAATGTTACATACAAATATAAGATTCTAGATTATTGTAATGTGAACTGAAGGTCATAGAGCTGAAAATTCAATAGGTTACATAATTGGATATTCAATGTTATAGAATATTATCTTGCATATTGCATTTATTTGTAACATTTATTTCAAATCTCAATAACTTGATTGGAATCTTCACCAACACGATAAAGGAAATAATCACTTCTAACGGACTTCACCTGTAGGTTAATATGATATAACTTGTATGCATAATTCTAATTTTAAAATATTCTATTTTACTTACAGAATTAATTAACGAGGACTTAACGTAATCACACGAATCCATATTATTCTACTCAAATCTCCATTGTTGCTCCAATCAAAATAATTAAGATAGAATTTTGGTTATAATAATTCATATTTATTATTATTAATTGTTTGTTGTATCATAGGTGATGATTCAGTCTTGAAACTTCAACGCGTCCCAGAAGAAATTGTTCAAACATTTGAAAATGCTAAAAAAGCTAATATTCATCGTACTGTACATGTTGGTGAAAACAGTCCAGCAAGTAGTGTCTATGAGGCAGTGAATAATTTATATGCTGAACGTATTGGCCATGGATATCACATCTTAGATGATGAAAATGCATATAAGTCTCTACTTGAAACCGGTGTACACTTTGAAGTAAGAATAAACAACAACACACAACACATTTTATGCCTTTTTTCCAAAGAGAAAAAAGATATTTTTTCACTGGAGTCATGAACCGATCTAGGTTGGATAACCACTGAAAACCTAGGAGCACTGGACAGCCGTTTTGTCCTAGTGTTGGAATCCTCAGCAGTGCACATCCACCACATCGCATACGGGAATCAAACCCAAGCATTCGAGCTCGAGCCCGAACGACGTGGTCCGTGTCCATTGCTTTCAGGTTTTCAGGGGTTGTCTAACTCAGATTGGTTCGTGATTCTAATGAAATTCAACGATCTCCACAGCTCCTAACTAACATATTTATTTTCACATCAATTGTGGCACATAATGTTAATGAATAGATTATACTGCTTATAAAATGTTCACTGATTATTGTTTTGTAGCGTATTTTGAGATTGATAGATTTTGATTGGAATTTCACATCATCAAAAGATCTGTGTATCTCAATGAGTTTTCTTTAAATATTTGGTTTATAAGTGACCTATTTTCCGATTCGTTAGCACAACAATTGTTGTTTGTGTAATAAATAAAACTACAGTCGTCAATAGAAATATCAAGATAACGAGTACTGCTTGCACTTTCTCATAAAATCATTTAGTTATTTGTGAAGATTAATTCAACTTTGATATCGCTTTTATCATAGATTAATTTAAGTTAGAATGTTATTGAAAAACGGAAAGAGAACTAGGCCGTTCTTTTGTCCTAATCCCAGACTTTTAAATAGTTTGAAGAGGACAATCTTTTCTGAGACTGAATGCAAAGAATTTTAGGCGCATCATCCTCAAACTACTTATCCCCTAATACAATGATTATGATTTCCAGCTTTAGTCATTTATCAATATTACGTTATATCAACCAGAGACGTTAGTATGTAAATTATTCACTCTCTATATAGTTTGACTCCAATGGTTCACAATTTCTCATTTCTCAGGAATTCCATACTAGGATGAAAAAACTGCTCAATACACTTTGGTTTTAAATACTTCCTCACTTTCTATCATTTCCATACGGAAACCAACTTTTTTTCTAACCAATCTCAACAAAATTAACAACTAATAATCTTTTCAGAATTATTGTTATTAATGTTAAATAAAGACTTGTTAATTCGCAAAAAATAAAATCAGGTCAACAGATTATTGAATTGATCCCAAAGCATACTAAACTTATCTGAGTGTTTCATAGATAACAGTTAATGTTTGCTATAGTTTGGGAATTATTTTGATTATTTCAAGTTACGAATGATTGAGAGAACCTCCTAATACGAAATGTGATCTTAGGAAACTAGATAGATCGGACGACAATATATAAATTCAATTCAATGTTTATGACCCACTCATAAATAGCATGAAGAGAAGACCGAACTTTCATAAAAGCTTTGATATTCCAAAAATAAATCAATAATGTGATGTAATAGTCCTCTTTTTACAGTAGCAACGATGGTCTTGAGGACTTATGACAAAATGGCAAATTAAAAGAAAAAGAACTCAATCCGAGAACGGGAAAATTCAATATGCAATATGAGTTAAGAGTTATCGAGGATTTTATTCCTCGTAAAAACCATAAACTAAAGAAAAAACCCGTCTAACCTGAAATCCTTCTTGCAGGTTTGGAGTTAGTTTTCGTTTGATTACCACTCAATAGTATGTTGTTTTGCTAAGCTTGAAGGTCCCTTATCATTTAATTAAGGGATCATGGATTACTTCATTTGAAAAGAATTTTTTAGCTGATATAAATCTGAGATAGTCTCGTAGTTATATAAACGTTCTCGTAAACTCGCATAAATTAATAACAATAATGGTAATTATCAGAAGGGGTTTGTGGAGATTTTTAGAAATTTTTACAGATTGAAATCATGAGTCAGTTGAAGCTAGACCACCATTGAAAACCTGGAAGCACTGGACGGCCGTTTCGTCCTAGTATGGGACACATCAGTAGTGCGCATCCACGATCCCGCACCACGCGGGGCTCGAACCCAGGACGCAACTTCGTGGATTGGTTGAAGTTAGACATTAACACCGTTGGATGCCGGCTCAGTGGTCTAATGGTTAAGTGCTCGCGCGCAAGGCCAGTAGGTCCTGGGTTCGAGCCCCGCGTGGTGCGGGATCGTGGATGCGCACTGCTGATGTGTCCCATACTAGGACGAAACGGCCGTCCAGTGCTTCCAGGTTTTCAATGGTGGTCTAGCTTCAACTGACTCATGATTTCAATCTGTGAATAATGGTAATTATTAGTAATACCAAAAGTAAATTATTTTTAAGGAAACGGATGTACCCCTTCACACATAAAATGAAGAGATAAGTACAACAAAGAGCTGTCCTTTCCGGGAATTCATTTCAAAAGCTGTACAGTCAGAAATCTGAACCTAATTTCCAAAATCATAATAATTACAATAATAATGATAAAAGATTTCTCTTAGACAGGATAACAATGAGGTAAAATAAACAAAGTCATGAAAACGTAATTTTTATTAGGTAAACTAACAATAATTTTGGTATCCCTTTGTCTATTCTACTTCACTATTATCATGTTTAGTAGAACTTTATTATCACTAGGATTGCAATTATTATCACTTTGGAAAATAACTTTATACTTCCGATTGTACAGTTTTGACAAATGAATTCGCCAAAAAGACAACCCTTCATTGAATCAATGTTTCTTATTTGAAGTAAAGTATTTATTTATGATTTAGGTATGTCCATCGTCAAGTTTTGTAACTGGTTCCGTTGATGGTCGAAATCCAAACAATCATCCTGTACATCGTTTCATTGCGGATAAACTCAATTTCTCCATTAATACGGATGATCCAACACTGACAGAAAGATGGGATTTACAAGAAGCTAAATATTGTATTGAAGAATTAGGCATAGCCCCTAGTCAATTGAATATTGCCAATTACAATGCAGCTATGGCAGCGTTCGTTACCAGTGCTGAACGTGAACTTTTAATATCACATATTAAAATTCGATCAAGAAATAGAACAATCAAAGTTTAATTAAAAACAAAATCACTATTCTGCTCAAACACACAAAGTGGATCACGTTTCAATCTCAAATATCATATTTTATATGATACTTTCTTCTCAATAGAAAAACGACATTACTTCACCGATTAGAAAATAATTTACGAATAGATTATTGAAAGAAGCATACTTTCTTATTAGCTCTTATTCACAAAGTCTCATTTCATATTCTAACTTGTGATTATAACTTTTGTTTAATAATTTAATTCTAAAACATTCCATTCTAATATATTATTTATCATAAGAATCTATTTTGCCTTATCAGAACAAGTTTGAAAAATAACTGTGTTGAATTTAAAATAAAGAATCCTTGTTTATTTTAGAGATTAGCACTAATTGGATGACTAATTTCTATATGGAAAGATATTAGTAGCAGTGTGTAATTTTCTGTGGTCGATGTTAAATAATGTAATTGATCAGTCTCTGTTGATGTACATGCATCATCCTACATGGATTGCTTCGGTATTGTCATTTGGTCAAAACCTTTGGTAAGGTAGCAATTATAATTACCAATGAAATGTAAAACAAACATTATTTGACCATTTCGCACTCGTCAAATGTTTAAATGCTCATCTCATTGTTGATTTTCACACTGAGACTCGAACCCAGTACACGTCACTGAAAAGCCAACAAATCATGCATCGAGCTACTCAGTCTGCGTAAACACTAACTTGTTCAACGGGTGTGAAGTTATTTTTAGTATTTCTATCTCCCCGTTTTAATAAATAACTTCATGCTCGTTGAATAAATTAACATCAATTTACACTCAGTAGCTCCGTGGATGACCGGTTGATGCCTCCAGCTGTGGGTCTCATTGTTAACAACAAAAAATGCAATTGAAATACATCTACATGACGAGTTTCAAACAAGAGAAAACACTGATAATCAATATTCCAATTTATAAAACAGATTGATATTACCAATAGATGAAACAAACGGATTCTATAACACTCAACCGAAGTTGGTCACATAAATATCTGCGTCTGAAGAGCATGACAGATGTCCCTCATCTTGTTGCGAACTTCGAGATATAGAAATAACTGAATAATGGTGTGAGAGAGTGTGTTCCCCACAACGTCAACCTGATACAGACATCGCAAAAAAATCTCTATTCGTTATTTACAACATGAATAGTTAATATTACCGTTTCTCATTAGGAAATCTCGTGACTTCTACCACTGAGGAGAAACTCCCGATCATGAAGCCAGTTAGTGAGGAGGGTGAAGTGTACGGCCAGCGACCACACTTCGTATAGCAAACTCTGGTAAAGAAATGATAGCCAAAGAATTCTGATAAAAATCAGTGTGTAGATACATTAGGACACTTGATCGAGAAACCAGGAAACTCCGGAAGTCACATGACCAACCCCTATTCTAATAACCAGGAAAACAGCAACTGATGGGAATATGGAATGGCCGAACAACGTGCCGGACTGAGGAAGTGCTTTGAATAGTCACAAAAACGACGAGATTCAACCTGAAACATATTGGAATAAGTGAGACCTATTAGGTGTAAATAGTAAGGAAAAGGCTAACTTCAAAAGAGATCGACAAACAACCCTCTCAACGTGCAAAGTGGTGCTGGACGAAAGGAAGCACCAGTACAAAGGATGGACTACCTCCAACCACTCACCATGTTGTTAACACACTGAATTAGTAATGCAACACGTTTATACTAAAAATCGGACAGTCTTACACTCCGATATTTTCAAATATTTCAGCAACATTGCTCCAACAAATATTTGTACAGTCACGTGTGCAGTTTATAAATACATTTGTTTCGGTCGACTTGCAAAACTATGAAGTAAGTGAGAAATTCGGTCAGTTGATTGCATCGATTTGTTTTACTACTGAATTCACAGGTAATCATCAATCAGTCATGTGAATGACAAACGTCATTCAGAAAGTGTTAATATGTCCAGGTGTTTATGTATTCCACTCTCGTCACCATCTCT